AGTGTCAAATATGTTCATTATAAATTTTCGAAAAATTGAGGTCAATCTACACTACGCAGAGTATGGTATTGGATAAATATATGTTCTTGCATTTCCACAACTAGAAGTGAGCCCTGTGCAGAAAGGTCTTTGAGACGACATCCTGTTGGATAAAAAAACGCACAACACACTTTTGTTTGGACCTTTATTGGGATAATTGAAAATAAAAAGTATTTTTAGTTGGAGCCAGGATGGTGCCTAAGTTATGGGGCTATACGATTTATTTAAATAATAATATTCTTAGATCTAGATCTACTCTAGGAATTATGTAAATGTCGGTAGAGCAAGATACAAGCAAATATAGTTTGTTTCGGTAAAAGAAACTAGTATATTTTTATGGACTGTAATAAACATCTAAATGTGGTAAAATTCATTAATGGAAGTTGATGTTCGTTTCTTTGTCGTAAAATGAAATAAATAATCGTCCAAATTAAAAGACGTTCCTATTCGGCAGACTCGAGGTCTGCATATATTGGTTGAATTTACATGATCCATACCAATAAGCAGAACATTTCATAACCGAAATATACGATTCTTTTATTGAGATTTTTAACAATGGCACGAATAAATTACACCATGGTTCAGTTCATTTACCTAGCCGAAGATCTGCAATAGTAACGTTTCTTCCATCAAAATCTACTACCTTGGCAAAATGATCATGATAGATTCACTAACTGTGTATTACGTAGTTTCTTACTACTTAACATAAAAGTTTATGACAAGCTTCCGGAAATGAGAGAACGCTTTGCATTCAAGTTAAACTAATAAGTAGCTATTATACACACATCGGATGCTTTTGAGCCTAAATAATTAGTACCACCGTAAAGGTCACTGAATACAAGCAACTCTTATTATTCACATTACTTGCATGAAATAAATATATTTTAGCAAATTCTATAAATGCACATGTTTCGCGCGTGTCTTGACACACCACTTACTCCACGTTAATTGGGTGTTTGCCCCTGTCCCTGTTTGATTGTGTAATATATTAGCAGTATTTCATTGATACATTAAAACAGCATTTTCTTCTGTTACGCAATCACTAATGTCACTTGAACTTGTTAGAAATAGACCGTAGTGGTTTTGTTTTAATAGCTATGGGACAGTTAGTGTTCTGTCTAGTTTTTATAAGAATTACTGTGTTCTAATTGAATAGTGCCCGCGTGCGTTAAGAAAATATAAAATAAGAATGAATTCCAATCAATTTACCGGTTATTAGCTTTTGCGTAAGACCCTGCTCTTATAATGCATAAATTTCGTTTTCAGCAATTAGTCGCCACTGACGGAAAGAAAGCAGGTTGTAAGATAGTAGCAGACAGAAATATTTAGCAGTCATTAGAACAGATAACAAATATAATCAACATTTCAAAATATTGGTTAATTGTCTTGTCTATCGTAGAATATATCCGGGGTTTTAAGTCGAATGATATAAATAGTGAAAGTGAGAAATGCGGATAAAGTTGACAACAAAGTGATAAAATAAAAGATGTGTGGCACACCGCATGGCACCGCACGAGTTGAGAGAAATTACTTCACCACTTCATATTCTCAGGATAATATGGTCAAGAAGCGTTTTATTATATAACATTTTGTGGCTGCAGTTGATAGTGTGGCCGACGCAGATAGAAGGGGGCTATTAAAAGTTATTAACAAAAAATTGCATTTTATTGAATAGTTCATTAAAAGTAACGTAATTTTTTTTGCATTTATGCCAGTACCTGTTCGTTTAATCAATATGCTAAAATATTTTTTTAATTTTGACAACCCTTCTTCTTCTTCTTGTTTTAAGACAGTGTCTTGTTTTTTCAACGCTGTAGCCTAAGCTGTGACTCCGATGTTCAGCTTTTGAACCATCGTGTGGTGGTCTTCGTGGAGGTCTACGGTTGGTTGGCTTCTCCTCTTCTGCAATTTTGTGTAGTCGATTCTCTGGACGTGATCCCTCGATGCTCGCCTTTTTATTGTCTTACACATTGTAAATTCGCGTTCCTGCGTCCTGGTGCTTACCTTATTATTACCTGCTTTTGGTCTTCTTTGCCTTCGTGGTAATAATTTTCACGTTCCAGTCGTATTGTCTCGTCTATGTGTTGTCTATTGTCTATTGTCTGTTGTTATTGATTTGGTTTGTAACTATTGATTAATTGCTTTTTTGCGGTTGCGTTGCATACTTCATATCCTTCTTTGACCTCCTTATATATCATGCTCCATGTCTATTGAATATTTCTCCCTGAACCCTCTTTTGATGAATTGAATCCTGAATTTCTATGTTCACAATTTCGTATTTGGCATATGTGATAGTTTTACTTCTTAGCTGAAGGTATGCCTTTCTTTTCTCTCCTGCTAGCATTTTGATTCGGTAAACGATGGCTTCGAGTTGGTCATTCCATTTTTATTTATTTTGCGTTTATCTATCGCTTCTTCTGCAGCTGCTGTTATGTTGTTACTAAGTTTCAGCAACGCAGTCTCAACAACATCGTCATTCTGGATTTTATTTTCAACAAGTTTCTCCCTTAATCTTTGTTGTTAGGTATAAGTATTTTGTGGCAGCGGCTTTGATAGCCTCTATATTAAGTTTTCCGATTATTTCGTGTTAATTTTTCGGTTTTATTTGTGCACATAGCTGATACCAACMTGTGGSTTTGTTGAATGTTAAATTATYATTATTATTATTTAATTATTATTTGTTCAACTTAAAACCCTTACATCTTATAYTTCCGAGGGGTGAATATTACAGTTTGTAATCAAGTTATCATACGATTGATTTTTGWCCTCCRGTGTTTTSAAAAGTACATTTATGTTGTTGTTTATGAGTATGAAAYRTATTGTTGATTCTCATCTCGTCATGTGCACAAAATTGGATTAGTTGTTTTCCGCTATTTTGGCAATTAATAAAATATTGCCGAGCAATTGCCGTTCAAATATGATTATTTCAAGTATCTGAAAGCTAAGCTRCTTAACAGTTSAAGCTGTTTCGATTGTGCAACTATAATAGAAAATCGCAAAACCTTGTTCTTCCCGGTCGAAAGAATTACCCACCATCTCTTTAAATAATTTGGAATACTAATAATAATACAATGTAATGTAATGGTGTAGGGTTTATTGGAAATTTTTCTTTTTCTATATTAGCATATTGTCTGTGTTTATTGTTATATAAAATTCAGTAAGCCTCCGTGTGGATTGAGAGAACTGAAATGACTTGCTAAATTGCTCGAAAACATAYTTTYTATCTGGTAGATGATCCAATGGAAAAACCGAAAACMAGTGCATGCTAGTAAATGCACCGATGAGAAATTCTWCTATGAATCAAGCAAATATGCTCTTATGAAAGTTCAGGCTAATGTTTATTRGGAATCAAGCATTGCAWAATTTAACAGGGGCATAAATGCAAAGTGGTAAATTTAAATAMTTTCATAAGTATCACATGGCACTGCATGAGACTCATTTRTTTGATTTTTTAGCTCAAAACAAGGCTGATTACTAGCAYTAGCATAAGAGTATGATGTATGAAATGTTGGATTTGTTTGATATCGTGTGGCAGACTTATTAGGTACCAAATATTTTTTTAATTTTCGGTTTCGGCAACAACTGTTGATATCGAAGTAAGGCAATTTTAGGTCAGTTATTTCGTGTTTCACCRAAAAYTTTACAATGCAGAAAAKACCTGATGTAACCCAAACTCTGCCATTTGAAAGATGCATTATAAAGTACCRCTTAAAACTAAATTCAAGTTTATATTAASTGAAATGTTATTATATTAAAACTGCTGAAAGTTTTCTGCGTTTCCACGAAGAAGAAATGTAGTATTTCATGTAGAAGAAAAATAAATTTAATGGTAACATTAAATAGTACCAACGAGTAACYAGCGATTTTTCGGGACATTTTCAATTTGACTTTCATCACAGTGATKGCGACCTAAACATCCTATTTTATTTTCCAGATTAATCTCAAAGCAGCAAAACTGACACTGAAAATATAGTTTAAAGAGATCTTGAGTTTTGAACCATGATGTCATACATACTTTAAAGCAGCATAATAACACCGTTTTCAATGAATGCCTTCGGAATTAATGTTTATGCAATTACAATTAGTCTATTGGATTGTCGACCTTCATTGTAAAGTTAATGTTTTTAGTTCTAAACATATCTATTGAACTGGATAAAATATTAATTTTGTTCCAATACCTTATGTGGATTATATACAATAATTTAAACTTTTTTTCTGGAAAATGTTCTATTTCTGAAAAAATCTACTGAAAATGTGCTATCAGAACAACGAAAATAATGTAAAAGCCATTTAACAAGCCTTAACAAAAATAAAAAAGTAAAATTTTCTATTTCGGAAAACTGAAAATCGAACCGAAAATTCAGCATTGAAGCATTTATTTGCCGGCAATCATGTCAATATTAGAAATCTTTGATTCCAACAATTCACTTGTGGATAGTATTGATTTGTATCGAGTGTATTTTTCTTGAGAAAATTCGAAATTAATGACCAAACTGTTGCATGTTACAAGCAGAGGAACGTCCTAAAATAATTAAAGTTGGTTAATAATTCGTAGGTTAATGTTGGTTAATTATTATTTTTTTGTAAATTTGCAAATTTTAACAGGTAAATACTAAGTTTTTGCTGCATATTAAATATAATCAGAAAAATTAAAGTAAAGCAACTTCACATAGTTGGCTCAATAATGGGGATCACACCAATTAATACTTATCTGTTAATACATAGGTGCGCACTATGAATATCTGTATAATTTAGTATAAATGTTTTTTTCTGGTATAAGCAACAATAAAAATTATTTTGAAAATTATTTTATAACAACAAAAGCAAATATATGTGGTTAACCGATAAAAAAAATACGACATATTTCTTCTGCCCTCAATGTGTATATGTTAATTAGGTGCAACAGTGTATCTGTTAATATCTTAATTTTGTTTTTTTTTTAATGTAAATAATCAACTTACCAGTATGAACGAGGACTCTATATTCCACATGGTTTTCCACAAGAAAAGTCGTTCAAGAAAACTTAAGCGAATCGTTTAATTAATCGATGTCCGAAACACGACTACTGATGATTGTGTAGTCCGCGAATATTTTTCACGTTACGGGATCGTTCGACAACCGGCGTTCAGCGTCTGCATCGACCATGGACGGCATGTTAAATATTTTCGAGTCGCAGATTCGTCTTGGTCGTGGTAGGCGATTTTCCCCGCCAAGTCGGAGGTCGAGCTGCCTTATGTGGTCTGGTAAAATGTATATTTAATTGTTGGTTGTTCAATTTCCTATTGTTATGTACGTACAAAGCACATTTATTAAACTGACATTAGAAGCGTTTCAGTGAAATTTGATGGAAATAATTGGAAAATTAAATATATATAGATAGACCAGTTCCACTATAAAACGACCACAGTGATAAGTAGGCTCGAAACACCGCAAATGCCAGAAACCCGGAGTTAAAGTACCGGTAAACAAAAAAAAACCATTGGTGACTTTCATTTCGTGACCAACTTGAATGAAAAACAAGTTAAGTTTAAACCTTAAATTGTTTTTACGCATGAAGACGTGACAATCTGCATATCAGTGTTCTCGAAAAAGTACTTCAGAGTCTTTGACATGGAACTTTTACATAATCCGTGACTCCCAAAGTTTTGTGATTTACGTGCTCCAAAATGAAATAGTGAAGAAATCGACGTTCCACGTGAAACTCTTTTTACTTCTCGTTTTTAAATTGGCTCAATAGATCCAGATAACGAAATTTCATATATGAGGTTGCCGACCAATTACATACAAATGCACTGTAGTAATGTAAAATTTCAGTGTAGTAACTAACAGTCTATAAACATTGGCTAGGAAAAACCAACATTTCAAACTGTTTAAAAGTAACAGTTAAGGTTATTATATCTTTAAAAACACAATTGAATTGGAAATTTGTATGATGCCGGTTTGCGTGGGTTTGCTATGGTAAGGAAATGGTAGCCCCAGTCCACATGTTCTAATGTTTGGGTGTTTTCAACCTTGTGTTTAGCAAATGTGATGGTTATGCACTTTTCCAGGGTAAAATTTCGTTATTCAATAGTAGTTATAATTAAAAAACGTTCTTTAGAACCACCCCTTCTTTCATCAAAATATACGTTCAGATGCCCAATTTATACAGAGGTCTATCCACAGCTTATGGCTTTAGGTTCAAATATACCAATTGCTATATATTGTGCGGTGCCCTAAAAGGAAACGCCATGAGCATTTTTCACACTAACAAATACGTGCAGTTATTGTTACCTTTAATCTAAGGCGTGATTTTTACAATTGGTGAATGATCTTTAGTCGGCAAAGTAGCAACGAATTTGTAAGATTATTTGGCCAAAATATGCCCAAAAAGAAACAAACTTCAGTAAAAGATTGAGGACGTAATTAAAGACATTCTTATGTTGAAGGAAAATTTATTCCTTTGGAAAAGCGTTACTGTAAAAGTTTTTGTTAGTATTTATTAACACATTTCCAAAGATCGACTTTGCATATAATTCAACAAGTCAATAGTTATTAACTAACTATGTACATTTATTTCTAAATGCGATATTTTAGATATTTTATGATGCTTAACTTGAGCTTTAACCTAACTCTCCAAAAATTTCGCACCCGATATTTGGTTACAACATTTTGGAAACCCGAAAAACAGGCTTTAAAGTTTCTGAGAATAATAAATACAAATTTATTTGTAACGTCCTTTTAAATTAATATATCTCTTGATTTAATAAAATATCACCAAGATGACCTAACATAGAACTTAACGATTTTGAAAACTCTCTGAAATGTGCTCTAATAATAATCACTTTGAGTTTGAATATATTTAATATCATCAAAGAAATAAACTGGAAATGGGCAAACATGTGTTCTCTATTTGTGCTGATAGACTTGCAAGACATTGCACGTAATTTTAGGATCAACTGATGAAATTAAGCTCCAGATATTCCTAACAATTTTCGTTGTCAAAAAACAGCAGGTACATTTTTCCATGACCGACCTGCAGTTAGTTACTACGGTCAAGATTTAAAACTAATGATAAACATACCTAGTAGTAAAAAAAAGTAGTTATCAAGTTATTTAGTTTCCGATCCTACAACCCGAATATTGACTTTTAAGCACTTTTTCTTTGGTAGTTTCACTAATCTTTGGTAGTTGATTTTTAAACTTTGTGAATATTTTGGAAGGCTTTGTATTTTTATATTGAACTCATCTGAAGCTTTTCGCTAAAGAAACTCTTCAGATATCGAAATTTGGGTTCTAGTATTGAATACAAGAAAAGAAGCATTAGCTCACTGATAGTGTCGATTTCCGATTAAACCATAGATTCCTTCACAAGAAATTTTTAAACTTTGATAATATTTTGAACGGCTTTTTTTACATCAAGTTCATCTTAAGAGTTTTAGTTTTACCTGTTTTTTTTTTTAATTTTGAAATCGACTGAAACATGAGGTCGAATTTTTTGACGTTGCGAAGAACCATTTGAGCCACTGAGTTCATTTTTATCACATTGCATATAGAATTGGTAATTCAATTCAGTTATTACAAAGTGCGTAAGCGAATTGTGGTGGATTTGTCAGAAAAAGTCTCACGAAATTTGAATGTCAGACATTTAGGTGCAACTTTTTGCCATAATTTTATTACGAAAACGTCTTCTACAGAATGTCAATCATTCAAGTTTCCACTGGCTTTACTTTGGACGCTGGAATTATTTATTGACGAGCCTGCAGTTGCGTAAAAGTTTTCATTTTCAAATCAATATTTAAGAAGCGCGCAAATTTCAGGTATTCATGTGGTTTTGAAAACATTTTCACGACATTTAGAGCGCACTGTTCTTTACTGAACGCACAACTCTGAACTTGTAGATTATTTTTTATTTCTGAGAAATGGATTTTCGAAAAACGCGATACAAAATGTGACCCGCAACAACTTTTTCAAAACATCAGCAAAATTTTCATAGCGTGAAGAGTGAAGTTCGAAATTTTGACTCACTGCCCATAGCGAATTGCAGAAAGCATAACATCAGACAATAATAAACTATAAACATTAGCTCATGATAATAGAAATTATAAAAATAATCGAAAACCTTGCCTAAAATATTTGATCTCTTTAAAACCTACACATACGATTTTGCCAACATTTGCGAATACATTTGACCCGATCAGTCTAAACGTGACATTTTTCACAATAGATGCATTATTTTTTAACAATAGGGACTACAAGGAAATACTTCATTCACAGCGAGCGATTAAGTCCAACAATTATATTAATATTTTTTGGTACCTATGATATTGATATATTTAATTTTATCTTTGCTACAAATTCTATGGGATTGAATATTCTTAATAGATGTAGGTAAGTAGATTTTTTATTGTTAACCGGGTGTGTTTAACCAGTGGTTGTCGGCATTATATTTCTACTTCATTTAATTGCTCTTTTATTCGATTATCACACGTCATGGTCTAAAAATACTCGCTTCCCTTCCTCAAATATCGTTTTTTTACAAACTTTTGACCGAAAGCCTGACCACTGTAACCGGACATTATGCATACCGGGTTTTATGATGCAGTCCGGACTTGATAATATTTCCCAAAGTGACTATATTAAGTAAGTGATTGTCCTAAAAGCTGCAATTAGTTCTTTCAAGGAGTAGGTTCTAACGATTTAAACACTTAACATTCCATGATATTGATTAAATTTGGGCCTTGCGGTAGAATGGCATATTTTATATAAACTTGAATTTTAAGCTTAGAGATATGACTCGATTATGATGTACGATGATCTGCAAGGGTAGTCTTCACATAAAACATTCTCCAATTTTTGTGACACATATTTTATAAGTTGTTTCCAACCCGGCTAGAATTAGTTAAAGATCCGTATATGCGCTGTGTCAAATATTATAATAGTACTGCTATTTAAAAAAAAAAATGTTTTGTGAATTGCGATCAGGAAGGTTACTACTACAGATTGTAATCACAGCTACAACTACAAATGATCGAATGATGAAACTATCAAGATGATTTTACCAATAATCAAATAATAAAGTATTGCGAGGCAGGCGCACATAATAAGATAAGTCCTTGGACAAACAATCAAATAATTATATTCTCTTGGAGAAAAATCATTAGTTGCTTTTTAAGCAAGAAACTATTAGATGAAAACGTAAATAAAGAAATTAATAAAATAATATATAAGTTCCAGTCGAAAAGCATAACACCTTATTGCTCAGAAGAATGGCCATTCAAAAACAGTACAGGAAAAAGTGAATGGATCATAACTTATTATAATACCTATATTAAAACAATTTAAAGAATGAACGGATTACGTCAGCATAAACAAATAGTCTGGGATTACAATAGAACTGCGTGTTCTTAAAAAATTGGCTTTTTAAATTAATTACTAAAAATTATATATTTCTATTAGACTTTCAGTTTTCCTGTATCCAAACGTGTTACACACAGTCCACGAATATTTTATCAAATAGGTTTTTTGCTTATATAGATATTCATTTGGTTGTTTTACATACAGCTGCTCTTTTCCTATTATGAATTTAGTAGACCTGGATCTCAACACTTTTCGTCGTCTGTTTGAACTTAAAAAAGTTTAACCAGCAGTGATTTTTTGAAGCGACGAAACAAGCAGTACCATGCACTAAATGCAATAAGCAATAAACAAAAGCACTAAGCAGCCCGAAGCTTTGTACGGAGAAAAATGAAAGTATATTGGCAGGTTTAGCACTTTCTCTTTCAACCAACGAAATATTAATTTACAGCGAAGTACCATCTACCGCGGAAAAGTTTTCATTTCACTTTTCTGGCGGACTTTAGGAACGGTACCTTCACATAGGGAATGTTATACGTGCTCTGTTAATTCAATGCATTTTTATACAGTGTTGTTAAGTAATTGTGCTTTATAAGGTGTGGTATTTTTTGCGTAATAACCAGCGAAATTACTTCTTCTTGCGTCATTGGTCAGGTATTACTCATCATTGTTTTCGTTGTTGATGAAATGAAATAAATATTCTTCAGGTTAATGATTCTCGCTCGTTTAGACTTCTTTTTGCAGTTAATATTTATTATTTTGCACTTACGATTTAATTTATTAAATCAAACATGCAATTTTAATTATTTATAGGATGCCCTAAAATGGAATTAG